CCATCAGGATACGTACGGCTCGGTCTCGGACAAATCGTCCTAACTTCACGGTACCCTCCCATTCGGCTTGTTCAATTCTGGCCTGGCACATTTTTTCTGCCACGACTTCGACATTGTGTATAATGTCCTCATGAAACGCTTGCCTGTACCTGGGGGGTTTGCGCGGCAGCGAGCGCCTAGAGACATCGATCAGCAAGCGCTCGAAATGCGAGGTTTGTGCGTGCAGTCGAATTGTCCTCCTCGGTGAAGGAGGTCTCCGGCCCGCTGTTCTCCCACAACGGGAGGCTGGAGAAGGTCTCAAAGGACTCGTCGGTCATGGCCTTGCAAGGACCGTATGCAGAAGTTCATTCTCTTTCTTCTTCGTCTGAGGCCCGCGCTAGGACGCTCCTGGAAGGTGAGACGCTGCACTGAGCTTGAAAAGCTAAAGGGCTGCAGATCGAGCTACTAGATGATCCAAGAATAGTTTCAAGCATGAAATCGTTCGGACTAGTATGAGACAACTGAGCAGTCACGAAGAAGCCCTTGAAAGGCGTGCATTTGATTTCTACGCAAGAAGACTCGATGCGGTCTGAACAAGGTCTCAGTGCCGCCAGCCGAGCCTGCGAATGCAAAGAAAGGCCACTGTGCGCATAATGACACGAAACCATGTCATACACCCTGCATATGAATTTTGTAAATTTCGCAACAGCCGTCAGCACACACTCCAACACCAGGCTCGATTACATTGCGTGAAGCTTGGGCTTGCACGTATCACGAGTGACAAGCTCGGTCTGGTACGAAGGCCTCGCGTGCGAAGAGTCCAACAAATTCGTGAATGAAACGAGGCACTTTAACGACTTGACGGAATTTTGAACGTTACGGAGTGTTGTCATGGTACCAATCCGGTATGTAACATGTATCTACTCGATCTAACTGCTCGAGATGGCCACTTACATTTCGCGAGTACATTGATTGCTTCTGCTGGGTGCAACACCATGCGGCTCAGGCTTGCACGCATCATGGATATCCAGCTCGGTCGGGCATGGACGGCCTCGTTCGCAGACGAATCCAACAGCTACGTGAGTGTAATAGACACTCACCGACTTGCGAATGCCATGATGAGTTGTTACCGTACCCATAATGTATGTGACATCTTTTAGATATCCTACTGTAAATCCCAAAATCCTATACTCAGAGTGATTGAGTTATTATTGAGATACATTCTGCATATCTTCAGTCACGTCATGTATGCTCGCGCGTAAGCTACTCCGTGCTCCGGGCCCGTCGAAGCAGAGGAAGATGAAACCTGGGCGACATGCAGAGACATAAGATGTGCCGGGATTATGAAGCTTCACGTCGTATAACTCCGTGTTCAAAACAAGATGTGTAACAAGATATATAGAGTATTGAAGCAGATTCCATTCCCGCATGCCCTTATCGTGGTGTGTGCGTGATGGGCAGCTGGGAGGTGAGGGGTTGGATTCCAGTGGAAATACTAAGTTTTGACAATCCAACCCCACACCTCCAGCTGCCCTCGTGGTGCTTCGCAACTCACTTGTCGTGGCTTCCTGTTTTGAAGGCAGGAATGCGTATTGACTTGTTTGAGTATGCTGAACATGTTGCATCCATTACTGCACCTCCTTGCTGTTGCCAATCCTGACCAGCAAGGCCCAGGTTGAAGAGCCGGCTGGATTATGTCTTGAAAAATCGAACTGACGCAATCGAAATTGCTGCCGCGTGGCTATGCGCCGCCCCACGCCGGTGCTCTCTGTCTCGTAGGCCTTTCGTACCTGTTGCATTGTCAGGGATGTGACAAGGTGCAAACTTGACGTGTGAATAGATGCTTGAGCCAAGACACGTGATAAACACCGGCATCGGTGATGGCGCGGCCTCCAAAGCAGACGCATCGCTGCAATCTGACGTGATGAATACTCTTTCGTCAAACGAAATGAAATGCCTACATCTGCTACAATGCGATTCAACCAAGCAGCTGGAAAGATTAGCGTGATGTTGCCGTACTGGTCCTCGGTTGCGCAGCCTTTAGGTAAAGGTTTTTATCACCGTGCAGTTTGAAATGAAGTTTTAACCAAGTCTCCGCCACCGCGACTGGGCAAGGAGGGATAGAGCACCAGTAACGGTAATAGTATTAATATGTGTAGAAGTAGTAGTAGTAGTGGTAGCAGTAGTAGTAGAAGTAGTAGTAGTAGTAGTAGTAGTAGTCGTCATATTTGTTGTCGATTTTGTAACTGAAGTCTGTGCATTATGTCGACCTGAGATGCTGAGGAGATCAAGCAAGTCAAGATTCCCATATGCCCCATATTCTACCTACTTAAGGGGGACTCTAGCCCCAATATATACCCTATTATAATATAGTAGTTTTCATTTTCTTTTCCATTATCCCTGCATAACCCCTATAAAACCCAATATTCTACCTACTTAAGGGGGACTATAACCCATATATATATATATATACTATTATAATATGGTAGTTTCCATTTCATTTTCCATTACCCCTATAAAACACTATACAACCCAATATTCTACCTACTTAAGGGGGACTCTTTGATTTCCTGTTGTGTGCCCAGGGTGCCTTGCCAGTGAGATCAAACTTGCTGCGGTCTCGGGCCAGTGCTGCCACGGTGCGTCCTACGAACCTGGATCATGGCTGGGAATTTTGAGATCTAGTGCTTTGGACTGAAGGTTTACAGGATAGGGCTTGGGGTCTTTGGTTTTTAGGGTTTGGGGATTGGGGCTCAGGGGATAGGCTTTTGGGGTTTTGGGCTTTGAGGGTATTGGGGATGCGGGTTTGGCATTCCTTGTCGGTAAACCGCAAAACCGATAGTGACAATCACGAACTTCGTATGTAGATCATGTCTGTGGGAACATGAAAGACTTAGAAACTGCTCACAAGATCAACTATCTTACCTAGGGCTAGACTGACGATGCTCAATCTTCCTGACAAAGCTGGAACTGATGTTGCTGTTGACCGGCGGCTCAGCGGTCGAACATACAGGAGCCTTACAGACACGACTGCCATGTTTGATTGTGCCGGGCTCTCCATGTTCATCTGGGATGAAAGTATCCCCTCAACGTCGAACTATAACTCTACACTCTATATCATAAAGCAGTTCCCTGAACAAACAAACCCTAACCCTCAAAACCAGGAACACCTAAACCTCAACCTCCCATTCAGAAATCCTAAACCCACACAGCATACATCCACACGTACCCTTATGGATTATAAACCCTAACCCCTAAAACCTAGAACCGTAAATCCTGCAAGCAAATAACACCAAAACACTTCAAGCCCAACACCCCAAACCATAAATCGAGCCACAATCTACCTGAAACACATATACCTGAAATATGAATCCCAAACCGCGAAACTCTAGAAACCTAGCAAACAAAAACACTTCCCAACAATTGCCCGGCTGCAGTGGCGTCTCAGCCAGGGGGCTACCCATCAGGGGCGTGGGCTCGAACCTGGATGCATCTAAGGCTTCAGGGTCGTAGGGTGTAGTTTTAGGGTTAGGGTTTCAGAATTTAGGGCTTTAGGAGTTTAGGGTTGACGGTCTAAGTATAGGCCCAGGGCTGTGCTGGTATACTGTACGATCTAGTTAATCAAGTTCTTTAAGGCGGTATTATGATATGGGGTCTAAGGGTTTATGCAAGGGTTTTATGGTGAATGCGTAACAATACATGAGGTTCACTACACGGCGACAATATGAGGGCTACTACTCCAAAGCTAGAAGTATGGTCGCCTGGTATGGGACCTTCATCCTGGGATCCATAAATCTATCCACTAGATGAGCTTATCACCAACATCAGCCTCTTATGACCCCAACATACCTTTAGTATGAATACTCCGAAGCCCTCTGCTGATTCAATGGGCCCCTGCATTACGTATCCTTAACGGGCCTGGAAACGCCCTAGAAGGCTAACGGCCAACGTTATTGGCCCATTCTGCTGGCCTCAGACGGTAGAGGTCAAAATGGTAGGATAATGGTTTAAGGCTCACGGTTTAGGCTGGAAACCTATACTGCAGACCTTAGGCTCAACGGCTTTTCGCCCCGTAGAGCCTTGTGGCTAAACCCTAAAAAACCCCGAAGCAATTGACCCACCCACCAAGCTCGCAAATTCCCTGAATGCTAACGTCCATATTCCAAGTACAGACATATACAGTGCTGTATGTTTATAATATGAAGATGATACCTCAGAAATCTAGGCACCCATTTGAGTAGTGTAGAGTGCTGGGTATGTTCTATTAAAGTTATACAAAGGTTATGAGACATTTGGACATTTTGCAGGGCTTCTGACTACATGACCCGACATAGTCCCAGTTGCCATTTGATTTTCCATTTGATTCTCCAGTATACCCCTACTCCCTCACTTAAACACAATTCCGATACCGTAAAAATTGAACCCGAAACCTTAAACTTAAAACCTTAGTCTGTAAGCCAGTAGTAATTGTATCTCTAAGCCAGGGTGCTTTGGCCCTGGTGCCGCACCCCGTCTCTCGGCGGTGCCGGAGATGGCGCCATCAGCCACGTTCCTGCGTCAAGGATTCCAGGATTGGATGCTTCCACAAGCATCGAATAGGTCTCCCTGACAGGCTTTGTGGTAAACGCTTACATCCTCTTTTTCTGCCCTTAAAACTAAGTTTCGCATCATGGGGATCCACCAAAGAGACCCCGAGTATTTTGACTACCTCCCCCAGAAGCTCTATGCCTAAACCCCTACACCCCAACCCTATGCCCCAAACCCAAAAACCCTCAAACACCGAAAGTCCTGAATCCCACACCCCCAACCCCTAAACCCTAAACCCCACAATCCAAATCCTGTAACACCTCAACACTACACCCCTGGACCTCTAATCCCTCAACACCCTAAACCCGAAAACCGCTAAACCCTCACACCCCTAATCTAAACCCCGTTAACCCCTAATTCCTCAACACCTTCGGCCCCCCGAAGGCTTATCCAAGCGTCTCTGTGGCTACCAGTCCCGGCCAAAGCGACACCATAGTAACCTTATGGAGGCTTGAGATTGATGGTTTGGGATTTAGGATTTGGGGATTGGGTTTGGGATTTTAGGGTTTGGGATTTAGGATTCGGGGATTGGGCTTGGGGGTTTAGGTTTTAAGATTTGGGGATTAGGGTTTTGGGTTCAGGATCTAGGGTTTCGGGTTCAGGATTTAGGGTTTAGGATTTCAGGATTAGGGTTTATGATTGGGGTTAGGTAACCTTATGGATGATTGAAAGAAATATCAAGGAACATCCCTTTCAGGGGTTAAAACGGGTTACATGGGGATGCAGGATTCACGGATGGGGCTTAGGTTGTGGAGTTTAGGGTTTAGAGATTTAGTACCTAGGGGCCCCCAAGCACTAGAATCGTGGAGAATCAACTGGAAACTTACATGGGGCATGCTGTGAAAACAGAGTGTACATAGAGCTGTTGTAGGAGGATTGAAAGTAGGAGCCTGTTGTATTAGAATGTTGCGGCATATCACACCACAGCTATGCGACTATGAGGAGGGAACAATATTGATGATCATGCAGTGGCTTCTACATAGCTGCCCCCAGTAAGCCCTAAACCCTAAGCCCTCAACCCTATTGAGGGTTTGGGTTTGAGCGTGTGGAGGTACAGCCTCAGGCACCCTTTGGCATGCAGGTGGTATCTGGGGATTCTGAGGCGCTGATTATAAAGGGACGTTATTGGGCACCGCAAAACGGGAACCCCCAGAATATAGTAGGAACTAATATTATTGCAATTCCGCTGCTTGAGGAGGGTTGCAGGTTGGGAGCAGTATCCGAGTAACATTATCAGTTGCCAGCTCGATAGCCATGTCGTGCGCCATACGATCCATAGCTGCTTTGCCAATCCCGTAGGCAACGTCGAAAATGTAACCTTTGCATCAGCGGCAATGAAGAGGCGTATACAATAAGTTCTGGGCTTGACCTAAGTAATGAAAGACGGATCAGAAAATATGAACGAAAACATGGTCTTGCTCACTGTTCAGGCTCCTTCATTTTTTCTCACTTGCCTTTCTTGCTGAGCAAAGCTAACATAACACAGATGCGTTTCACTTGAAAGAGCGAAGAGTGTGGTGGCAAACTTTGCAGAAACCAAAACCTGAAGAATTCCACAACCTCGACCCTGACCCCCTCCACCCTTAAGCTTTCAAATCCCTTAGCTCCCTGGTTTGAATGGATCTTCGCCACAAAAGGATTCGCCTTGTGTATCCCTCAACATACGATAGCCCGAAATTTGGGAACCACAAAAAGGGGATCCTGTTGATGAAACCGCCCAAACCACCAAAGGCAAGCAAAACAAACGATGCTCTAAACCTTCGAATCCTGGAGCCCTAAACCGCTTAACCCTGTACCGCTAAATCCCTAAATCCTAAAACGCCATGGCACCGAGGCCGCCAAATGATCCAACGTTGACAATGAGGCCCGACTTCGCCTGTCAGGGACCCCGCAGGGTTCGTATAGGGATACATAGGGATTAATTCTGATATGGGGATACACACTTGGGATCGTATAGGGATACATAGAGATTACTTGAGGTTGTACTCTAATAACGGAAAAGAAAACAGAGATCACTATTTAGGGTTAGGCACGCCATTAACTTAATGGTTACGGTTTTGAGAATGCATATGGTCCCTTTACACAGATCTTGGAGCTTATATCGGGATATGTAGGGTTTAGTGTTTAGGGATAGTACCCGAAGCAAGTGGAAAAGAAATGGACAATGACATGGAAACTGGGATCGTAAAGGGATTGAAGGCACGAGCCGAAATAACCTTGTAGGGGCTGGCTCTTCAGACCTCTTCATCATTTAGGGTTTAGGCACCGGGCCAGGTGTGAAGTAGATTCTATGGGGATGTGTAACCGGGTCACTGCTGCCACGGCTGCAGCTGTTGAGATGGGATAAGCAAAGCGCAGGGCCGTTTAGGCAGATGTTGCGATGTCTAAAAGCTTTTTTGGGTCCTACAGACTGGCTGTTGTTGATGTAATGCGTTTGGACTCCAGCTCGGGAGTGGGAGAAGATTTCTTCCTGTGCCGTAGACCAGGGGACTCAGTGACTACATGCAACTAGTGCTCCAACCGGACTCATCCTTAGTGTAACTTATATAAGCCCAGAGGGGGATGTTTATAGGAAAGGCTATATGCCCAGCTCGAAGTAAGTACCACGTCCGGTGAACCTTCAAGTTAACAGCCGCGATTACCAGCTGACATGAAGATGCTTTCCAGACGACCCTGCAGAAATGACCAGTAGTCGAAAGTCCTTAAAGGGGGGTACATACGGATTCTATAGAGGAGCATTATACGGGCTGTTCAGGTCGTCTAAACTCCTTAAAGGGGGTATATAGGGGATTCTGTAGGGTTTAGGGTCCAAATGCAATGGGGCGTATAGGGGGTTATCTAGGGGAACAATTTAGGGTTACTAAGAGGGATACTAGGAGTTAAGATAATGGCTCATGTGTGCTGCGCCTTCGTCATGTGTTGGGCGGTGTGCGTGCTAGCAATGTAGTGTGAGCGCAGACCCACATTATTCACGATGTCCCACATCTCAGGTCCTGGCATGACTGGTTTTGATTTAGGAGTCTCTCAAAAATAGGGGTGCCCTAGACATCTTAAGGATATGTGGGAATTCTGTGAGAAATAGGGGTGTTCGGAGCAGGCAGTGTAGAGGGCCCCATGACCCGCCTGAGGTTCAGGACTTAGGCTCTGGGGCTGTTGATACTAGGAATCCTGCATGCTAAAGCATCACAATTCACAAGGTATCAGGTTAACATCCTAAATCCCGCATCCTTACACCTTGACCTTAAAGCCCCTCACGCCCGAACCCTACATTCCCCACTCCAAACCCAACGTTGAAAACATGAAGCTGTCCTTTCTCCCAGAAGGGCTTACCCACAGTCTTCGGAAGTTGACTCACCGCGCTGAAGGCGTTGTTAACAAGGATGTCAATACGCCCCTGCTCCTGGACAACCTGCCATTCAGTAGATTTAGGGCTGTGGACTCGAAGACTGTTCTGAATTGGCTACTGTCTAGGTTCCAGTAACCCTTTAAATACTTTGTCCTGCTATTCAGCTTTAATAAGGAGACCCCAATATGAAAAGGGGAAAAGGGTACTACTGGGGTACCTAGCTGTGTACCATCATTATATAGGGATTATGATCGGTACAGTCGACTTGTGGGGCCTCAGTGTAGGGGCTTCAGCGTTCTACCAATTACCATGATAACGGCCCAACTTCGTATAGCCTTATCTTACAAACCCTCCCAGTTTCCATTTTGTGTTCCATTTTTTTGTATTCGATTCTCCATTCTTGATTTTGTTTTGTTAAGCTTCTCACGAATTACCACCCCAAACCGAAACCCTACATCATTACCACGACAAACGCCCTACTTAGGCCCTACTTCCTTTGGGCTTCTGTTTTCCTCGAGCCTTGTCCAGAAAGGAGGCGAGTTGATTGTCATCTCCGTTGTCGACTGCCGCAGGGATGCACTTCCCGCCGGCCTTGAGTAAGGTTCAAATTTCTAAGACTTCTCAAGCCATTTGGGGGTTTCCCATAACTAAGGGTACCATTTTGGGGATTCCTATAATACGGACTATAATATTTTGGGGTCTATATTGGGGTCCCCCTATTTAGGGAAGAAGCTGAGAGGGCAGAGTTGGGTCTACATGCGGGAGGTGTACAATGACCTCATTCCCTTAGCCGTCGCAGAAACCTCAAGCACAAGCCATCCAATGATTCAGATGCCTGTCTAGAGAATCTTTCTAGTGGGTATTGGAGGACTGGAACATACTGGAACTATGTAGTCGCGGACTAACTGGACTGTAGAACGCCAACATACTGGGCTCCTCCAAAAGTGCCTAGAAGGCGGGGTGGCAGGTTGGCAACACCACAAGAGCTTTGGTCTGGAAGGGTTATCGTCCATTTTGAGCGCTGTTTGCTCACTTTCAAAGAAGAGCGTTGAAGTTTCGGAGCCACTTCTCCTGGCTCTCCAAACCTTGTACCTTTTGCTTCCTTGCTTGGCGCTCCTGTCGCGGATTTGCCTTCCTGTTGGCGCGCATCATCCCTTCCAAAGCTCTGACAGCTTCCATCCTCCGCCTCACCTGAATTTCGTTGAAGATTCAAGGTTATATATATATATATGTTGGGGACATATTGGGATAATGGAAAAGCAAATGGAAACTACTACGTATAATGGAGTTATATAGGGTTTAGGGTTTAGGGCTAAGAAATATTGGGATAATGGAGAATCAAATGGAAAAGAACATGGAACATGAAATGGAAACTGGGGTTATACAAGGGTTCCACATTTTGAGTTGCGGGTTGAAGGTTGAGGGGTCGGGCCCCAGGCATGGGCCCCCCTTACCTTGTTTAGATAGTCTATGAAACCCTACAAACCTAATTTGGGGCGCATACTTAAGAGCTTTCACCTTTGATGCGGGATATTCTGGGACATCATTGACCGCAAACATTTAATGCGTATTCTAGGAAATCCCTTCAATTCAGGAACAGAGACTTGTAGTTTTCATCCGAGCAGAGCTTTTGCATAGGAATTCCTCAAAATTAGCAATGGATTCAACATTGGAATCTGTGGATGGAGCCGTGCAACAGCCTGGAACTATTGAAGTTGCCCTGGTCCTTGGATTTAAGTATTTCTTGGCTTTGAACCCTAGACTATGCTCACGCAAGGGAAACCAAACACACCACCGTCCGTTCCAAGCGGGGGTTATATGGAGTTCCATGTTCATTTGGCAAGGGTAAATGCCACACCCTGGGCCCTTGCAAGCTAAAGTAGATAGTGGCCTAAGGTACAAAATAGGGCATTGGGTACACTTTGCTTCTCATAGATGCACGAGAGGGGATAAAGTGACGAGCTCACATGGATTTTCGCTTGTGATGCGGATACTGACTCCAGGCCAAGGAAAACGGTACAATTACACCCCTGCACCAAACCTTTCCTCAGTACAGCTCATGCCAGTGCTGGCGATTTCAGACTTGCTCCTAAGGGCAACTCCCAGAAACCGGTATATACTCTTCAGAAAATCTCTGGAATGTTGTAGAGCTACCGAAAACCATAAATTCCAAACAAATCTGCTTCCCTTGGGCCTTCTCCACTTCTGCGCAGGTCTCCTTGGTTGCTCTTGAAGCTCTCATTCAAATATCCAAGGAAGGAGATACTCAGGGAGCCAGCTAGCACGTGGGCTTCCTTATTACAAAAGGCAGATTCGGGATTGCAGAAAGTATCTGGGGGCTGACGAAGGCTTCCAGGGGGCAAACTGCCTCGTATCACGTGATCATCGAAGGTGATGATATCCACTTGTTGCTGTTGAGCAATCCCAATGTTTAGACACTGGAATTCGAATATAGTCATAACTTCTGCATCCCAAAGCTGGAGTATGACCTTTTGATGCTAGACAATCTAAACCCCATCAAGAAATCCCTACAAAGGGAGTTGGTGGGCAAATTGCAGGACACTAGTGCCATCCATACATGCGATTCAGAACGATTCATACTAAAGTCCTCTTTGCTATGGGGCGCAACAGTACATGGGCCCCCCGCAAAATAAGGCCTGATTAGAGTTTATGGGGTCGAGCCCATGGTAGTCTGCAATAGCGGGACTTATGCATGCACTGAGGTTGGTAGCAAAGATCAAAACCCTGCATGAGCAGACCATAATCACTTCTCAAGGTTTAGGATAATTCACGGAGCAAAAAGGTAGAAGAAGGCTGTGGAGGGTGGCCTACACTCTACGTATATTCAAGTTTAAGCGCACCCAACAACTTTCAAATTGGGGCTTAGGTTTCTAAGACCTAAGACCCGTACTACTGATGGACAACGGTCTGCATTACGCTACATACCGAAGGTATAGATTATGGTAATGAACTGTACTTGGCTAACGGAGAATCTTGTGCAAATACGGGCCTAGTAGGAAATAAACCTGCGTCACCCCATATACCCAAAACTGACCTGCGGTAGCCCCACCACCGCAAAGAAGCCTCAACCTCAGCTCCTGAGTCCTAAATGCAACCAACCCCTACATCGCAGACTGTAGATAGCACCAAGTTTCTTCTAAGCTGCCCTTTTGCGGCTTCCCACCTGGGCCACCAGTATTTGTCGATGTCGGCGACAGAGTGCGGCCTGCATACTCCAAGATGTTTTGAGGTTTCTTAATCCAGATGGAATTCTGTGGAAATTGCAAGAGGGTATACGGGGAATTATAGGGATATTGCCCCGATGCAGTAACAAGAAAATGGGCATTTAGATGGAAACTGGGGGTTAGACATGGGTTTAAGCCTGAATTAATCCCTGGTCAGCAAGGAATGATGGAAACTAAAATGGAAACTACTGCATTACTGGGAGTATACATAGAAACTACTATCAGGATCCATCCCTCATTCCTTGCTAACCAGAGGCAAACTGTTGAGGTTTGGACTCAGTTTTTGGATTGAAGGTCCTGCTTTTTCCAAGCTTCGACCATTTAGTGTCGTACATCTTTGTGAGGTTCTAGTAAGAATCATTTCGCCCAAGCCAAACCAAGTCCTAAAGGACTTCTCATCTCCTCCCCTAATAAGAACCCCCCTTATACCTTGACTTAAGAAACATCTATCCCACCCACAACCCCACTCATAAACACCCATAAACCTCCAACTAACATCGGAACCAGAGAAAATCCTCTTAACCCTAGCTGGGCAAGTCCTAACCCCAAACCTGCCAAACAAAGCGTAATTTCCAACCCCTTGGAAACATTGTTTGTTCTCAAACTCTGCCTGTGATGTAGACTGTCGCACCCGCCTCGCCGAGGCCGATTGCAATACCTTTGACAGGAATAGGGAGTGGGGTCTATTTGGATTGTAGTCCCTTACACTTGTACTAGAAAAAATCTTAATCTAATGAGCGCATTTTGGTCTCAAAATGAAGGTCAGACGCGAAAGGCAAACGGTCTGACCGTCTGAGTGTCTGACAGTCTGATTGCTTAACTGTCTGCTACGCGGTTCAGGCTCCATGCCGCGACCTCAATCTAATGATTCTTTTGGGTTATGCTATAATGGAGCTTCAAAAATTTCCTAAGGAGACTACAGTGGAGGGGCAGGCTACTTATAACGTACTCATAAGTCACATACCTCAAGTCCTGCAAATGAGGTTCAGTTTGGTTGGGGCATCTGGAGCTTCCACATAATGGTATTCTACTTTAGAATCGTACTTACAACCCAATTACAAGGACCGAATCTTCCAAGTGGGGTCATTGCTGCACAAATCATAAATTTACTGTCAACCTCCAAGTATGGGTTTGGGGTCTAGAGGTTTACTCATTGGTGCTTAAGGGGGAGTCGGGGACTCAATATCAGAACCAGTCTAGCAGACATTATACGGACCCATTCCAACCACTCTCTCTTGAGCATCAATAAGTTTTGGGATTTATGGTTTTAAGGATTGCGATCTGGAGGGTTTAGGGCATGGAGAGGGATTTCTGGAAATCCCTACGGATATTTTATGAACTTCGGTAGGATTGGTGCATCCTTATACAACTTTCAGTGTTCCCTTGTTGCAGCCCAAGTATGTTCAGGGCATACTTCATCTTGGGGGGCGGGGGAAGAAGGGATTGCAAGCAGGAGGTGCCCAAGGTATGCATCTGGGCAAATGAAACGGAATCCAATGCCTGAAGCCACGCCTAGGGTTTAAGGTTCAGTGTTGAGGGTTTGGCGCCACCCTACACCCTAAGGGGGAGGTCGGGCTACATCTTGAAACCCAAAGCCAACTTGCCCTACCCTAAACCTTGGGTACTGCCCCCCCTAACAGTTGGATAATAATTCTAAAATGGTTATATGTAGCCCTTAATAGGACCCCTAATATAGACTGTTAGGGTGGGGGTAGTACCCAACCTAAACCCGAAAACCTTGACTCAATAGGCCGCTGGGCCTTTGCCAATGCCACGGCTTCCGCCAGTCACAATTGCAACCTCCCAGAGAGGCAACTAGATAGGGGTACCATTTGGGGGGTCCTTATAATAAGGATCATAGTTTTTTGGGGGTCTATCCCATTATCTTGGGAAACTATCGTCTCAAGAATTCTGAATAATGTTGTTTGCTCACCCCAACCCTCCACGAATAACGATAACATAGGGTCACATAGGGCTCATAATATAGGGATTAGACAGGGTGTAGAATGACAGGATCTTGGCAGCCCCAATTCTATGATGAGGACTCTACCAATGTCATACCAAAATCATAAATTTGATTTCTCAGTCGGAAATTTGCATGTATTGGTGTACCTAAACCCCATACCTGCTTAGGATACTTGACTTGTTGTCTAGTATCTTCTATAAGTATAGTGGTGCAGGTATATGATAAGAAATCCAGAGGATATTGGCAACTTGGAGCCGCGGTGCCAAAGCACCAGCAACTGACGGCAAGCACAAAGCAGTTTCAAAGCAGAGCTGCATGAACAGCGTGAGGGACAAAAATAAACATTTTAAGGTCCAGCTGAGGTAACATCTACCATATGTATACAACGAATCTAGCGTCATAATGTTGGGAATTATTTAGGCTTCTACAGTGCCCGAACGAAGGGTGGCCACAACACTTCTTCCCAAGGACCTGCCAGCCTTCGCCCCCCCCAAAAATAGAATTCTGGAGGTTAACTATCAGCAGCATGCTCCCATCTTTGCCATCAAGATTTGTAAGAAGAGCCATAATTTTGATGATTTCACACTGTAGCCAGAATGGTGGGAACTCCCTACATTTCAGAAAAGTGGTTTTGCACGCAGTGCCTTCCCAGCAAGTGTGGGCTCCAAGTTGGAAGGCGAATAAGGCGTGGTGAAGTTGTATGCCACGAGCGCCAATAGCGCGGCGAAGAATGCAGTCCGCCAGGGAACCATTGCACTACAACTTACACTAAGGGGTCACAGTACCCAACGAGTAGTTTTTCCCGGAAGCCTAACATAGACACCAACGTCTAGGCAAATCCTAAGTATGGGAGTTTGGATCCTTAGATTCCAGCTGAGGAATGATGCGAATAAGCTGGAACCACAGACGAACATTTGAGCCAAAACTGCCTACCAAACAGAAACTTTTGAGCACCCTAGCACTCTAGATCCCAAACCCAATCTCAGGGCCAAGAGACCTGACCAAGACATCGATTGAGGTGGGTCACGGTTGATCCTGGACATCCCTCCGCTAGATCCTCAAACCCATGGCCTAGACCCTAGACCCTAAATGCTTGAATTGGCATCAACATCGCTCCGCCAGGCTCACTCTCGCCCAGAAAACTGGAAGCACAACCGCGGCCATACAAGATTGTCCTTTTAAAATGAGACTTGAATTCAGGGTTAGGGCTTGGGAGAGGGTAGCTCCCCTTGAACCGTCAAAGCAACCCTAAATTCCCTTCACATCCCATGCCCAAGCATCCCTGAAAACCTCAAGCTCCAAGCCCTAAGATTGGGGCGAGGGAGCGCAGAGGATGTCATCCTAAACACTCTACTTGTTGGTTTGTGGCTGGTCGCATGCGAGGTTATAAGTACACGAAAAGGTTGCACTACCTGGACCTTGAAAGTGGGTAAAACACTGGCCCGGGGCCCACCCCTAAATGGTGAAAAGACAATTCTTCGACATGTTTTGGGAGACCAGGCATAGTCCTTCTATTTGCAACGCTACTTAGAACTATCCATGAACCCTCCCCGCAACCCCAAACCTTAAAGCCCAAACCTCCCAGTCGTTGTCATTACGTCTTCTTTTGGAAGTATGGAATCTCAGTCAAGTCCTCAACCTTATGTAAGGCCCACGCACTAGTCGTGACCACCAGGGGAGGGCCCCTCAAGATGACTACTATATGAGCTGTAGTCTAAGCGCCTAGTATCCCCCTTAATAACGTCTATAATAATCCCTTTGATAAACTCCTGCATAACCATACATAACCCCGTTTAAGGAGTTTAGACTACAGTACTTATCAATACTACTGGGTAGTGTCTTAAGCCAACCTAAACCCTGAATTCCGGACTTGCAATTCCGGGGAACAGACTTGCGAGTTGCTTTTGTGGCTCCACATTGGAGTTCTATGAAACATCAGAATCTAATGTCTTCTCTTGGGGGTTCAAGATAGTACCACACAGAAAAACATGCTCCACAATGCCCCCGTTTTAGAACCTCCCAAGAAGATTCGTGCTTGCCAGCGTTCGTCTTGTAATTCCTTTTTACACGTGGCGCGGTGCTTATTGAGGCCACTCTCTCATGTAGAAGCCTGAATCATTCCCTGTATTATGGTCCCAGGGTCCATGCATATAGACATGGTACAGATCGTTTCAAAAAGACCTCCACATGAGACTGACAATGATTTAGGCCCGTGCAGAATGCAAGCTGGATTGTGCTTCCCTCGGCTGACACTTCCCTGTGCTTACCTTCCTCCTAGCTGCGCAGTTCATTGGCCCTGCCACCGCTCACAAAAGGATGACTTTATATGTAAAATGTAGGAAGTATACAAACCCCCAATTCGAAGGTTACCTTCTCATCTAATTCACTAGTTCTTGTAGAGTGCCAAAGTTTGGGACAGCTCAAACCATACCTGCAGCTGACGCCACGGAGACTTGAGTCTTCGGTTGGGGCATTTCTGCAGGCTTTAAGGGTCATGGGGTGTTGAAATTCTGTCATGCTAGGCGCTATACCAGAAACAGGATAGGATCTTTCTACGTTAGTTTCAGGTGTAACACACAGTTCAACAAACACAACGAATGAAGCTGCAAGTATGAACTGTACTCACGTGGGGGGTTGAGATACTTACAAGCACCACTTCTCGCTGCAGGTTCAACTTACTATTCAATGCGTCCCACAAGTCGCCCGAGTATGTTCATAATTGGGTGAAAAGTAGAAGTTGAAGTAGCTTACAGCCTACAAGTAACTCGCCACTCCAACCCGCAATTCCTAAACTTTTGGATCATTTGAGGTCCCTCGACTATGGTAACCCCAAGATTTAGAGCACTCAAGGTGGTGAAGGATTTCCTGCGTCAAGCTTACTCCCCAGTAAGTCCCCTGTGTGAGTTTCTCAAATAGGCCCTTCCGGGCCCCAACACTGTATAAAATCTTAAAAAAATCCAATGTCATGAAAATTCGTTTCCCTCCTGATTGTAAACGTCGCCAACCTTCCTAACCTTCAAAGATGTCCCCCTCATACATTCGGGCTGCGATAGGATGTTAACAAGAAGCGGTTGGGGCGTGTGTTAAGTATATGGGGGAACAATAAGAATGGCTAGTGGCTCCTGCGAACCCCAGCCCACAATTTCAAGCACCCAACCATTGTTTTGGTTCGCATCTGACCGATGCATTCCCAGTCTCAACGCAGCCACACTGAGATGTAGGAAACTTCTCCAACATAAAACGACACGAATGCTCAAACTTTCAGGGTAGTCTAGCGCAGAAAGCTAGAAGGGTCACAGTTTATCTTTGGAGAAGTAACGGCATTGTGCATGCAACTGCTCACACGTCATGGTGCCTCAGCGGTGCGGCCCCCAGCTACTAAGCACGGGTATAAGTTGCCAGGAGTTGAATATCACCTGTATGACTTCAATTGGTCAGCTCCCCGGTTCAAAAAACAAATCATTCTATTACCTGTAGCTTAATATGGTACTGCATCGGCGGGACGCTATATGGTAACCATCCTATGACTATACTTGGGTCCGATTTCCTAGGGGTTGGCAACTAGAAACCCCTTCTAAATACTGCCTGTTTCTCCTCCGCTCAGCTGGTCTTCTTGAGTTTCAGTGCTTCTGCGCCCTTGTCAAGCGCTACACCGGTGACGATGCCTACGGCGAAGTCCACCTGGGTAGATGGACTGGGCCCGTTTAGGGCGTAGGGTTCGAAGGAAAGCTTTGCGCTTAAGGCTTATTATGGCTCAGAATTTGAGGCTTAAGGGTTTAGGGCTTAGAGGGATTGTATCTCAGAGCTTCAAGTTTTTGCCTCGGGGCTTGAGAGTGCTCAGGGTTTGAGATTTTGGAGCGATCCGTGTTTCAACATATGGCAGTTTCCATAGACAAGCGGACTCCAACATGGAGCCCAATATGCTATAATCCTAATTCAGAGTCACTATGGAACCCCCGAGAGGGATCTCTTTAAGAGGTACCCTGAAAGCGCTAAACCCTAAACGCTGCTTGATGTGCTCCGCCAGCTTGCTGAATAGATAGTTCCGCCGAGCAGAAGACTGATATCATTATGGTTTCCCAAAATTAGGGTACCAAAAACGGAGATTACAGGGTGTATGTAGGGATTGATAGGGTTTAAGGTTTCCCTATAGAGTTTAAGGTTTCCCAAAATTATGGATACCTTTTTTGGGGGCCCCCCATGATAAGGATCTTAGTATATTGGGGTCCCCCATCTTGACTGTATGATACGCAAAGGGAACCAGCTTCAAGGTGCAGACATAAAATCGGCAAAAAACTCAGCGGCGAATACTACAAGATTAATCAAGTGTTTCATCGACGGAGAAGGCTCACCAAACAGTGAGGGTGTTATCTGTACTCTAAACCTACACCCCAAAACCCTAAACCCTAAACCCTAAACTCTAAACCCCTAAAACCCTAAACCCTAAAACCCTGAAACCCTAAACCCTAAAACCTAACCCCCCCCAAATTGGAAGTCCCTCTCTTTCTTTCCAGGTCCTGGAGCCATGCTCCCGCCAAAGCCTAGACAAGCAAGTTGATTCCATGCCTGAAAATTCATTCAACATATGAGCCATTGTAAGATTTTTTTTATTGATATTGGGTCCAGGTATCCATAAAAATGTAAAATTTGTTCTACAAGAGCCCAGT